TACCTTTTTGGGTGTGCAGCTTTTGATCAAGTATTTGTTTTTGGGTTTTTTTTATAAAGGCCTTAGAACTACTTCAGCTTAACAACCTAAAAACTGTTTTAGCTTGAAAGCAGTTACAGGAGTAGTCGTTAATGAGTTCAGTTTACTAAACAAGAAAAAAAAAAACACTTCCAGCATCCATGAATTAAGTCATTCTCCTAAAGCTAATGGCAGGGTTGCTGCTTACAATAAAATAAATTGTCACATTTTTCTTAGCACCTCCAACATAATTGCAGCACTTTATGTTTCAACATCGAAGAAGCAGCTGATCTAGAAATAGTTTGACTACTTTGTAAATATGTTTAATGATGCTTAAAATGAACCCATCATATAATGTCAATTAAAGACAATGTAGATACCAGATCTCATTGCTTTTTCTCCTCTAAAGGTCTGAAGGCCTCCAAACAAGCCAGTGTTGAGCATTCAGGGAATAATTAGACTGAAGCTTATTGATGCTCTTAGGATAACATTTTATGTGCATAGAATGTTGCTACATACATGTTATGAGCATGAGTCTTTAAAACAAAGTTTACATTGTTGTATAGAAGCAAATTTCACTGCAGTTAGACAAGCCATAATGCTTGTGCATATTTATTGATGCACGATCACGCAGATGAAAATAAAGTGATGCTTTAGATTAGAAAGATAAGAGGGAAATGAAAGCAGATGAGAAAATCGTATTAAGGAGATTGAAAGAGGGGTGGCAGCATGTGCTGCATTGCTCCTGCATTACAATTGATTGGCTGCTTTAACCACCAATGCTGCTCACTGAAGCTTTAAATAGATAGCTAAAACTCTCCTTTACCCAGCTCTTGCTTGCTCAACACCCCCACCCACCCGTCCCCTACTCATCATTTCACATTCACCACCTTTTCCTCTTTCTTTTCTTCTTTATTGGTTTTGCTTTTTACTCAATTCCCTGTTTTATTTATCTCCTCCTCTACACTCCAATGTCGTCAATGCTAATTTCTCCTTCTGATTGTATTTTTATCTCTGCTTTTCCTCTTTTTTCCTTATTTTCTCTGCCTCTTCCTAGATTTCTTTCTACTCTTTTCCATTTATGTATAAGACACCTCTCACTTCATAATATTTTGTGTACGGCCAAATTTTCCTTAAGTCTTTCTCTGGTTCTAAGTTAAGTTCAAATGGCAAGCAAATGTCAACAGTATGCTCACAGCACATAGCTACACATGTCCAGTTTTTTTCTGTCAAGCTAGACATTCCTTACCGCTATTGACGCATGCCTAAAATTACTTTTAGGCATGCGTCGTAATTTCTGCCAAATTAACCCCTTAAATCCAACATCTGGGTTTCTTTGGACAAGTTAATTTTACCAAGAGACCTTAGATCTTAACTGCACTGTATTGTAACTATCATATAACTGGAATTTACGTAAAAGGGTGTAAAAACATACTATTTTGTTAATCTTCTACTTTTTCGACTTTCAAAAATCATTAGTATGCATTGATATTGTACAGCATGTAAATAAAAGATGTAGTTTCCATAAATGAGAACTTTTAAGGGAAAAGGAGCAATCCTAGTCATGTGAAGAAGTAATCACCTTTCTTCTTAAATGGAAAAATCCGACTAACTAAATTTTTTTTATTCAGTAATAAGCTACACCCAAGCTCAACAGAGTCTGATTACATGAGGTAAGCCTAAAGGTATGACAATAAATTTCCCCTATACTATTATTAAAAACAGATGGAATATAGAAGTTCTACAACTTAGTAGAAAAATCATAAAGGGGAATATCTGTTAGTTTATGATATGCAACAGGACAATGATGTTTAGCTCATCAGCTAGTGCAACCTTTAATCGCTCAAATAGAATAGCAAAAGTGTACACACACACATGCGTATTGTGTGTGGGTAAATGTGTCAGTTTTTTCGGGGGGTTTTTTGCCCTAGAAAAACTTCCAATTTCCAAGTGTTCTAAGGTATGATGACCTGCTTTTTGAGAGACACGTTGCTATTTACATCGGTGGCCTTACATTGGGCTGCTCTGCAGCTGTTAGAACGACAACAGAGCAATGAGACTGCTGCCCGATTGTTGCATAGGTATTGGTTTGTCTGGCCAAAGATAGCGGTTGAAGATCACAGACCCCTTTATAGTAAACACTGGCATGGAAATATATTGCTTTAAAAGATACATCTCAGAAGATTAAAATCTTAATTTAGTTTTAAGTGATTTGTTTTTGTGAAATCTAAAAACTGAACATTACTAAAAAGCAGACAGAAGTTAAGCGTTATGATGTTTTCTTCTACTATTTCCCCCAAAAAATAAGGTTTTTGCAGTAGAATAGTCAAAGTATACATACACACCCACACACATGCGCAATTTGTGTGTGTAGGTGAATGTATATTGTGTCAACTTGTTTTTTGCCCTGAAAAACTGAAATTTCCAAGTGTCCTATAGTATAATGACCTGTGAGTACAGCGCTGTGAGGGGCATGTGGCTATTTGCATTAGTGGCCTTACATTGGACTGCTGCGCAGCTGTTCTAACAGACTGCCATCCGGTTGTGGCATATAAAGTGTGGTTTGTCTGGCCAAAGACAGCAGGTGGAGATGAGAGACCCCTTAATACAAAAAAATGGTATGGCAGGGACTTATAATACATAAGTGGCTAAGTTTAGACTGATAGGTCCTCAGGAATATCTTTTTTAGTGGTTTTTCTTTTGTCTGTCAAACAGCTACATATATATTTTATTTGTTTTCCTTACAAATAAAAACACTTTTAAGTTTATGCTTTTTTATTGTTTTTGGTCTTTATTTCACATTTGAATATACAATTAATAAATGTAATGGCTTATGGCACTGTATCCTTGCAGCAAGAAGGAAGGTCCCATGTTCAAGGCTTAGGATCTTCCTGCAGGGAGTTAGCATGTTCTCATCGTGTATCCTTGGTTTCCTTCCAGGTGCTTTAACTAACTAATGACCTTTAAGTCTACTGATGACTTAAAGTGTGTGTACATGATTCTATGTCTCTGCAACCCGCCTGCACCCTGATGGGTGGGTGGATGGATGGATGGATTTTTCGAACTTTTAAAAGTTTGTTTAAAAAATGAATTTCAGTTGAATGGAAGCACAGCTATTATATTTCTTTTTAAATTGTCTTATGTTAATTTGGAACAAGATAAGTCCCTTAATGGTTTAGTTTTGCACACTATTAAAGTGTCAGATTTTTCTTTGAAGTTAACCAATTGCAACAATCTTATAATCCATTAAACATAAGGGAAAAAAGACCAACATTTAAAGCATGTTTCTGTTAGGAAAGATGATAAAGATCCAGAAAATATAATAGATTGTTTGCTGATCTGTGGACACATTAGGTTTAGGTAATTTCTATGTATTTAAGGGGTTAATAAAGTAATGGTAAAGGCTGAGAAGACTCTCTAATAATAAGACTTGATTAAATTAAAAGTAAGATACTCATCTTTAGGATTTCTCTAAAACTCGACAGCTTTACTCAAGACCTCTAAATCTTTGACTGCCTGCACCATTGCATGTCTTATTTGGAGTTTGTAAGAGATTGGAACTCTGCAGTAATCCTTACTTGTCCTCCAATCCCCCTTTAACCAGATTCAATCCCCCTCTTTTTTCTCAGTCTTTCTCTCTCACATTGGCTCCTAGTTGTCTTCAGCTCTCATTTCCTCCCAGCAGTAATGCCATTTTTCAGCTAAGTGAAATGAGATGGGCTTCCTCTAGTGCTAGACAGATTGAGGTGAGGACAGGTCCAAATCAGCAGGCAATTGAGGCACACTGCACCACAGACTTATCTTCTCTATGCTTTAAGGGAATATGACGGAGCAAAAAGCCTTGCAGATGCGCTTTTACATGTTTGTGCCGACTGCACAGAGAAAATGTTTTGCTCTGGTATGATAAATGTAAACAACTATATCTCCCCATTTTCACAGTATGGATGCTTCCTTTTCATCTCAGTTGCAAAAAGCTCTTTCAGATGCAGGGTATCAACACCTTATGCGTCACATCTAAGATGAAAGATGATATTGAGCTATGGCACCTAACATAGGAACAAAACCCAGGCAAGATTTAAGCCAATTTGACTCTGATGCTGTACTATCTAAACATAAGCAGGTTGTGTGATCAGGTTTGAAACCAGGTGATGTTCACATCTGACACCAGGGGCAGCTCAAACACAAGCCATTAGGTCCCTAATGAAGTCAAGGCAGGTCTCATTTTCTGATGTTATGAGCCAGATGGTAATGACTCGTATAACACAGGTCTTTGATCTTTAATCTCTGCACTCAGTCTCATTTTAACGTTCGTTTGAAATCTTTTTGCCCAGTCAGCTTTTGGTATCTGGACAGGGTTTAAAACTCACTATCTTTTTTATCTATTTTTAACAGTATTTCCTTCATGCATTATTTATCCGATCAAATCACTGACCACTATTGTACCTCTCACCATCCAGTGTTGGAGAACTATCTTTTGTTTCCTTTTTATCTTGGCTCCCTTGTTCACTTCATGTATCTTACATAATCTATTTTCAGTCAAATGAAAGCAGGTGTTTTGCTGTTTAGCCCAACTTTCAGAGAAGGAGAGCAGTTTTAATCTTTTGTCATTCAGAATGCCAGCTAGTTGTTCCCGCCTGCTATGGCTTTCATCTCACACTAGAGATTGATTTGCAGGATGAGATTAACACTCTGAGAAAATAGTCCTCATTAAGCAGCTCACAACACTGAAAGCAAGGCATTTATTTCATACCTTTCACTGTTCTTCTTCTCTGTTCATCCCTCCAACTCATTATTTTTCTGCCTGCTTCAGTTAGTCGAAGGTTAGAGTTTGCAAGCTGTAAAAGCAGCAGAACAGCTTGATGTTTCGCTGCATCAACTTTTAACTCTGGCATTACAGTGTGCTCATTCTCCTGCCTTGCATGTCTCTGCCAACTTACTTTTGCAGCCAAGAGATTTACTGTTTCCCTGCTGTTTCTTATCAGGCCCTGATGCCACCAAGGACCCGTGTCTGAGAGTTCGCTGTCCTCCTCACAAGGTGTGCATCAGCCATGACTTCCAGACGGCCATCTGCACCAATCACAAGCAACCTTCACACAGGTAAGAGCCAGTAGGCCCACTCCTTGTGTGCAAACAAAAACAGTCATTACAGAAAAATATATTTGAGCTGTAATGTTTTAAACATTATTTTGTGTGTAAACATTGGACATAGGCTGCTTCAATAATTATTGGATGATCTGTACATTTGAAATTTAATTTTATCTAATATTTGTCAGTTAAATGTTTGAGAAAATAATTTAGAAATATACATTTTCTAGATGTTAGTTTTACTTTTTATGTTTTTAATGAAACTACAAGTTTTACAGTCAACACCTCAAATTATTACATGAAAGGTTGAAGGTTTATTAAAAGGTGTTACTGAGCACAACAATGTGAAGTCCAAATAATGTGTTTGTTGGTTCTTTTTGCGTGAAGCTAAATAAAATTGATCATAATGCTATGTCCAGATATGCATATCAGTACAAAAGACTAAAGCACATAAAACCATAAACCTGGCATGCCTTATTGATTATCTCTGATCTAACTTGTCCGTGGAGAGGAGGACCATTCAGCAGAACCTTTTGAGCTGACTGGACAAAGTAACACCTGATGCCGATTTACTAGAGTTATGTTTTACACAGTCACAATAAAATAATTAAATAGTAGGAGATGCCATAAGAAACCACAATGCTTATTATGCTCTTGCTGTTTCTCTTTCAAAATATAATCATGGATTCTGACCAAACAGAAGTGAGATCAGTAGCTATGTGTATAACCTCCGGCTCTGCCATGTTCGTTTTGGTATGGCTATAGGTTTGGCAGCTGTAGTTGTCCTCAAAGCTAGATGTCCCGCCTTAAGGTATAATACTGCAATGTTATTGGATGATACCTTTGGGGTAAGACTAAAAAGATTTCAGCTGTAGCAGTACAAGATATATTCTTATGTGCTTGTGACCTCCCAAATATCACAAGAATTCAGCTCACAGGCAAGATTATGAACCAGTTCTAATTTTTTACAATTCTTTTAGAGCAGATAATGATCCCCATTGTCATCGGAGTTGAAAATTTATTTCACAGTCTAATGTTCTCTTAATTGACTCTAAAATTATACAAAAATGTTTTTTATTACAGGTAAAATTTTTCAGCAATTATGCAAAAGTCCACAATAATTATGAGACCATAACTAAATTTATACTAATGCAATTCCACTTAAATAGACCAATATGTTTAAGTGACAAATTAATAGAATCTTACACTGGCTATTTTTATTAGGGATTTTTTGCAGCAATCCATAATAATAAGCAAATATGTGGAGAGAGAGTGTAAATGAACAATGATTATTTACCAGTGAGCTTGACTCTGCTGGACGAGGCTCGGTGTGAGCAGCCAGTTTTTTCCCCTTTCTCAGACAGAAACCAAGCACAAAAAAACAAAAACAAAAAACAAAACAACTTTGCCATGGCCACCTTTATGTGAGAGAGAAATTCTGAGTTTATGGTGGCTGCAGCTCCATTAGTGGACCTGTCTAGGAAAGAAAAATAGTTTAACAGCAAATGGCTGGGTAAGCAGATCCATGGGATGATAAACAGAGAGTAAGCATACATAGTCACATCATTAGCTCCTTTAGTGGCTCTGTCTAGGAAAGAGTCAAGGTCAAAAACATCATTACGGTAACTATATCTTCTCTAGCCCATTATATACAAAAACAAAAGGAACATGTTTTAGAGCAAATCACAAAGGTGTTCTCCCTTAAAAAAAGGTTTGAAGTTACATTGTCTCCTGCCAATGTATTGATCTAGACCAAAAGCCTTGGCATACATACAGTCCACATTTTATCTAAGAATTAAAACAGGTGAATGAGAAACACACTCTTAAAGAACCGAAAACAGACTTAAAATCAATGAAATACTACAGTGTGCAGAGGTAATAAAAAACCTTGAGCCTTTTCACTTCCATGTCCAATCCTTGAGTATTTTACAGGAAAACTCATGTTACTGATTTTAAGATTATGAATTTAATGAAGGGTGGATAACCTGTATAATTCATTGTTTTGTTTTAGTTATTTTCAAACAAGCAATTAGAAATTAGAAAATATTTTATTAAAAAAAACTAGTTTCATAACATATAAAAAAATGAAGAGCAGTTATTTTTTTATTTCTATTTTCTCCACTAAATTAAATATGGAGAAAAATTGATTATGAGCTCGTAAACAGATTTTTCCAATTTTGAGTTCTGAGGTATCAGGGGGTTGTTAATGAGCCACAGGCAACAAGTAAACAGAAGACACGGAATCAACACTGCTAGCTTTGCAGAGTTAGTCACAGAATATTTTGAAAGCAGTAAAACACAAACTAAATGATCAGCTCTGTTGGTGTCAAATCATGTGTCAAGTTGTTTAGAGATGTCAGTGAGGGGGTTTTGTATGATGTACTCGTTGCACTGTAAAAGGAATTTTGCAGTTGCTCAATTGCCATTACATCATCTACAGAGAAGTTTAAGGCTCCTAAACTTATATACAACAAATGTGTTTATTTGCATACGCAGTTATTCAATGTTACATTTTACATGTACAAACATTAAACCAATTCACCATAACCCTTCCATATTTGCTCCAAACTACCTCCTTATTACCTTAGAGCTAAAACAGAAAATGTAAAGAAATATTTTTTTTACTCTTGTCATTTTTTTCTCTATATGTAATTTCATTTTTTCTCACTAAGAACTAAAATAGGAGGTGTGACATATAAAAGTGTTTTGTTTTCTACAACCGTCTTCGATTTCAAAATGTATTGGGCTTTTTGAATAAACTGTTTCATGTTATTTGTTTATTTTGAATAGGCTCTTCATATTTCTGTACCTGAATATCACATCTGCTTTAGTGATGGTGTCAACTATTGAGAATAAATTGAAAATTTCTTAAAAAAGACCAATGATCTTGGCCACCCTTCTTTACCAGGCATACATTATTCAAAGATTTCTGTAAACTACAATACATTGACTTCAAATGTTTTTTTTGGGTTTTTTTTTCTGATTCTTAGAAATTGGAGTAAAAAAGAAATGCTCACACTTATCGCAAAAAAAAAAAAACTCATTATCCAAAATGCCATCTGGGTGAAATAGGCTTCTCACAAAAGTGTGAAATATAACAGAACTTTTTATTGAATCCAATCAGAGTCCCATGCATTTTGCTGACAGATATATGCATGCATATTCTTCTTGGCAATTAATTTTAATCACACTATCTGTTTGCTCCATCACCCCCCAATTTGTTTGTCTTTTCAACCATTGTTAATTTTAAAGGATTTTCAATTTTTTAGATCAACAAGCCTTTTAACCAAAAATATTTTTAGCTGGTTTCTTGTTTACTTTTTCCTCTCTCTCTATGTGTGTAATATAATTGATTTCCTCAAGTCATTAGCTTTCAAGATCCTTAGTTTTAATCCTTTTCTTTCTGTTGCATCCATTACAAGTCCTATTTTACGGTTAATATATTAGATTATTCATTTGGAATTGGTGTTTTCCCAATAGTATCATTCACTGAAGCTTGATGTATAAATATTTCTTTTTCTTTGAGCTAATTTAGTTGTAGAAATTAGCATAACACATATTTATTGTCTTCCCAGAAGACAAATCTGAACTAAGTCTCTCTGCACATGTTTGCAAACATGTGGAATGCAGAAGGTTTGCAGCTGGTGGCTGACGTTCTGTTTATTTGGATGTTTTTCACAGCTTGAAGGCATTCATACAAACCCTGCCTACTTTAATTATTCTACCAAAATCCATACACAGTAATTGTAATCTCTTCTGAGGGGTCAACAACACTAAGGCAAAGCTATAGAACATGCCATTTTATGTGACGGCAATTTATATTAGTAGCGAGGGGTAATTAAAGAACCAGAAAGAAAGATTCAAATTAGTGCACACCTTGCTGTTTTAAAAATATACAGGACCTTGCAAAAATGTTCATATAGCTTCAACATTTTCATATGTTACTGCGTTACAAATCAAAACTACTTCCTATCTGATTGAACTGTAATGGGACACATTACAACTACTTCTCAGGTGCACTACTTAAAGTAAATGCAAATTGCGCATGGTTTACAATATTTAGTATAAATACAAAACTAATACTGCAAGAATGGTGTGCTTCTGTCAATTACCAAGTCCTGTTTTCATGTAATTTAATATTCTGAAATATTAACTTGCAAAATGATTTATCCAGATAAACGGATACCCCTTAATAAAAAAACGTTCAAGACACTAGTCTTTCTTGGTCACCTTATAACAGTTGTTCTGTACAGGCCTTATAACCTAAAGTTAATTCACACCTAATATCTAAACCGACTCTCTAATGGTACTTTCACACCAAACACAAAGCTTGCAAAAAATCTGCAAGTATCATGTACATTTGTTCCCCAACATTTCACCAGAAGTGTCTCTGTCCAGTGAAAGTAATTTGCACTACAGGAAAATTTGTATGGCACATGAAAGGCTTCACCATGTCACCAAGTCTGCTAGTTGACTATTTCACCACAACATGGTAGACAGGGAGTATGTCATGGTACTGTATTTGCATTGGACAGCAGAGTAAAGCCGCTGGCATTCCTGGGTCCAACAGATCCTACAGAGATTCTCCCAGTTCAGGGAGTCCAGGTGTTATTGGATCATGGCTTCTTCTTTTGGAGCTTAAGGTAAGGGAGCTCAGACAGGAGCAGCATGGAAATCAAAACAAGAAAGCACCAAATCCAGGAAGGTGTGGCCAACCTTGCAAGATGATTTCTTGCACTAGTGTGTGTCTGTTTCAGAATTCAACACACCTGTCAGCTCCGCACTGTTCCCAATCAGCCTCCATCAGATTAACCTGCTCCCGTGACTATATAACCAGCTCTCAGACTATTCAGTTATGCCAGATTATTACGAGCCATCTGTGAGTTTAGTCCAGGATTCCTGCTACCTGTCTACCTGCCTGACTCTGAAATGATTGTGCCTCCTGAATCTCTGGGCCTGCCTAAACCCTATCAGACCTGTCATAGTGTGTTTTTTGGATCTCTGACCTGTTTTCTGTGCCCTGACCTCACTCTCGGAATTCTCCCCTGGATTGGGTCTGGATCTCGGATCACCTGGCTTTGACTCTGGATCGGCTCTCAGATTCGGTTCTCAGATTCAGGTTTTTTCCCTGATCATTCTGTCTGTCTCTGCTCTCACAGGTCTGACCCTGTCCATCCCTGTGAACTATCAAGTACTGTAACTGTCAAAGAAGGGTTCCTCCTGTATGGATGCAGAAGTCCTCTAAGATTAACCAGTGATGTTACACGCCAACTGGCCTCTTAAGAAACTCTCAAAGTTTGTCCCAAAACTCTGCGAAGGTTATTGAACCAGAATTTGACATTTGAAACTCTGCCCTCCATTTCTGTCTGGTCACTCAACTGTCCAATCTCTTTCCAGAAGTTCAAGTTGATGACTTTGGCGAATCCTTTCCAACATGCAGCAGTTTCATATTCTAATAAACTTTTTTTCATCTGTTGTTGTACAGTATCTGGTTGAATTCTGGGTCTTCCATTTTCTGGACATTACACCCTCTGGAGCTAAGAAATCACAGCATTCAATTGGAGAAAAGCAGTAGATTGGAGAAGCCAGCCAGGCAGAATGTAATGAAGTGGGGAGAGGTTGCAGATATTGGCCAGTGTCTGTGCTGGAGGGAAGGGAGGTTGATGAGCAGTCCTTCTAGAGCTAAATTAAAACAGCAATTTTTTTAAGGCCACCTACAAACCTCTAAATAACTTGCTATACTTTATTCTCTGTTAACATAATTTTCTCTATCTTCCATTTTTATGAAAAAAATGCTTGTCGTTGCTGCACTCCTTCAGTGTAGGTCACAGTCATATCTGTTTTATGATGGGAATATAAACAAAAGTTCTGATTTTGAAAATCCTGCACATTTTGATTTGCATATTATGTTGAGATGGTGGTGCTTTTGCTCCGCTAAATTCGCCAAAATCTTATTGGCCTACCTAGAATCACAACCTTCGACTAGCTCCGCCTTGCACCATAGTGGAAGGCGGAGTAACATCACCCTCTACATTGGGACAACATTCCCAATTAATTGAAGTCAATGGACTGGAAGTCATAGGACCTGCTCGTTTCATGTTTATTTCTATGGCCTAACCCAGACTCTTCCATTGACCCTGACCATTACTGACACATGCTTAACCGTAAATATTACCTACTTTTAATTCAAATGTTAGTCATAAACTTACCCCCAACCACTAGACTTGCCCCCATAAGTATCTGTAAGTCCCCACAGTGAAGCATATTCCTTTAAAATTGGCCTTACACTGTCCTCACAAGTTAATAAATACTTGGCTACACACACCGTATAAAAGACGATGCAACAAACCTTGAGCTGTGGGAATGATTTTTTTTTCAGAAAGGAGAGAGAAAATGGTCAGAATTAATAGGAAAAATGGTACTATGAAGAAAAAATTTAAACTATCCATTATCTTCCTTCCACTTCAAATTTATATTCCACTTTGTGTTGGTATATCATACACATATAATCCCAATAAAAGCCAATATGGTTTTAAATTGTTTCTTGACTAAAATATACAAATAAGTTCAAGGATTATAAATACTTATGCAAGGCGCTGTATATTATTCATCTCTCAGACACTTTTTTAACATATCCTCTCAGATTTGCATAACATGATCTTGTCAGAGATTTTTTTTCTATCAGCTTGCAGCAAATTTAAAACATTAGCACTCTTACTAAGCTATCAACACCAACTGCAGTTGTTAATGTTCACTATCCAACATTTGTTTTTATCACATTTATTTGTCTGTAAGAGTATGTTTGGCTCTAATTTTATCTCTGGTTGATGGATCAGAAACCAGGGTATAAACTGGAACACTTAGATAGAAAATTGCGACAGTTTTGAATCACATATAATTATAGTGGCTGTTGAAGAAGCTTCATCGGACCAATCAGGATCCGCTTTTTCTGATCCTGACAACCAGAGACACTTTCTGCCCAGCAGAGATGTGATTCTATTTGAATACTTTCAATGCCTGTAAAATTATTTACACACACACACACGTATATACTTAATGTATTTATTCTGAAGTGTCTGGCCTCTTAACCTGTAATATACTTGTTCTATAGTTCCAGGTACATTCAGGTAACCTTTATAAAGAAACTATCAAACTAAGTTACTTCTAAAATTAAATTTTTTTCTGCCTTTCTCTCCTACAGTGTGAAGGCCAGGAAAGGCAGCATAGGCCACAAGCACAGGGTTGAACCTGGACCTCATGGGAAATGTAGACTCTGCTCAGCATTCCATTCATCCCCTGTTTGTGGCTCTGATGGACACACCTACTCATCAAAAGTGAGTTTTTTGGGGGGGTTTTTCCCCTCTAAATTTGATATCATTCTGTTTCATCACAAATCAAATACAGAAAAACTTTGATCTACTGATGGGTATGAGAGTTTTCAGAAATATGAACATGAAATTTTTTTTTTAGCTGTGATCACATCCTATTTCTGCTTTCTTTTTGCTGCTGATGATGTCTACCCTTTAAGATATAATTTATATTTTATTTATGCTATTTGTTTATGATCTCTCTATTCTATAAAGTGCCATATCAATATTGGGGGCTTAAAAAAAGTAGCCGATATATATTGTTTGATACCCGATACATATATGCCAGAGTGTTAAAAAGAAATTGAACATGGACATACATAGGATTGCGCTGTCCAACTATACTCCAGCTTTAATTCCGATAATAACCAGAAATTATGATTGAAGACAAAGAAACAGAAAATAGAACTATAGTATTAAAATAAGCAACTTTAATATGTGCAGGATCGGCACAAGAGTTTAAATACAGCCAATTTTGGTGGTTCCCATTTAGATATTGTGCTTACTGGTTCTGGAGCCCTTATTATCTTGCAGATCTGCCATCCAGCACCTGTTATTGTTTGATTGATTGATTGATCTCACAGTGGAGAAATTTACTCATTTTATCAGCTCGAATAGTCAAAAAGAAGAAATAGGTGCCAAAGGAAGAAAAGGTGAATGGGGATATATAAAGTGTATACAGATACAGTTTCGTTTTTATTTTGTTGTTTACATCCTTTACATTTTACACCCTTCATGAAGTGGCTACACACCTCACTGCCCCCCTCTTCCTGTGAAATGAAAATAAATATATATATATATATATATTTTTTTTTGTATTTGACAAATTTAATTTGAATTCTATATATGAGCACTTAAAATAAAATAAAAGGTGACTGCATGCAAGTTCAAATAATGCAAAGACTAATGGGAGGTGTTTTGTATCTGATTCATTTTTATCTGACTCAGTCACAAAAACACATCACAAATATAGATATAGATTTTTCATGTTTACAAGCAACTGAAAGGTTCCCTTCTCCACTGAACACAGGGGGGAAAAACTAGATATAAGTAGCAAAGCAAGCCTTTTATTAATGAGTTTAATGAAAACATGAGCTTCTGAATTTATGAGCCCCAGTAGAGCCTGCATGTCAGTATGAAGTGTGGTGGGACACAATATAATAATCTTATTTACCCTCTACAATTATTTTTAGTTCACAAAGAGCTAAAACTTACACAGAGCTAAATCATAATAAGTTTGCCAAAACTAGAGCATAAAAAACTCTTCTGGTCCCCTTAATGCTCCCTTACAGCATGTTTCCATCAGGACGTTTGTTGTCTTGGGGCACTAAAGTATAGTTTTACAAAATCACAGCTTACCATGGAGTAATCTGCATACATTCTGGCCCTTCACCCACCTCTATGCTTAGCAGCAGCTGTGAGTGTGTGTGTTTGCAGGAAGTGGCGGTGCAGAGAAAGTTCACTGAGGGGTAGGGTGGCGTGCAGCTAAGCGCTCAGGAAGGGAGGGGCAGAGGAGCATAATCAGTGCCTGCAGCCACATTTTGGCCAATGTTGATTAAAGACATGCTAGAATCAGCCAGATAAATCGGCCCGCCCATTAATTTGGTCGGGCTTTACTCCATACTTAGTGACTTTACCAGAACAACTCTTGTAGTCAGGGAAATGACAGTCCTTCCATCTGATAGAAGTCATACTTAGATAGTGTGGAAAAACTCTGAAATCCACTCTCTTCTTATCTGATTGTCATGTTGCTCAGCTCTGACACCACTCATAAGGACCTTGCACAATGAAACACACTCAACATTTCATGATACAAGAGAAGAGTTGAAGTTAAACCTTCGCAATAAGAAGTCAGAAAACAGAGGAACATCACAGTTAGTGTAGACCAATAGTCAATAGTGAATGAAAAGGGTATACATAGAAGACAGACTTTGTCCTTAATGCAACACCCTGTGAATTATTATTGACATCAGCTTTTACATTTTCATATTGTTCTTGTATACAATTTTAAACTTCATAGAAGTGCTTCACACATCCTAATCAAACTATTATTGGAACTTTGAAAGGGTCTGATAAATGCAAGCAGCTGACCCCATCTCACTTTTTCTCAGTTATTAATTTAACTAGGTAAATGTAATTATATTCAAGGACAACCCGTACTTAACAGTGCTTCAAAACTTGAGTTGAAAACAAAATTTTAGTTTTTTTATTGAAAAAAGAATTTCAGAATGTGAGGGCCTTGTCTAATTTAGCTTCATGTCTGTATATCTTTTCTTTTCACATTTTTTTAATATCAGCATCTTTAATCTTTAATAAATCAAACAGCAGTTGGGACGCTAACCTGTCAGATGTGAAACAGTTCTATTATTTATACATGGTTAAAGGTCTCATATTATACTACATTTAAATTGAAAAATATATCAATGAGCTCTCCAGAGGACGTTTTTACTATTTGAGCAGGACTCCTCTCCGATTAGTCCGACAGCATGTACCAATATCCTCCTCATTTAACTTATGAACCAGCTGTCTTTACTTTCCACGCCCCTGCCCTCCTGAAGGCCATGCAGCCACACCCTGCAACCATGATAGTCACAGTTCAGCTAGAAGAGCTGTATTATACCAAAGACAAAGGCTGTCAGTTTTTCACTGTTTGTGTTCCAGAAGTACTCAGCTCATGATTTATTACATTTTTGCTCAGGTAACTTCTGCTAGGCTATGCTAAACCTTCACATGTTAAATACTCGTTCCGCCTGCATAAAGTCTTGCGGTACACCTTCTGTTCTCTTCCTTATACAGAGCGGGGACTTTGTATAACATGGGTACGAAATGGAAGCATGAAGGAACAAAAAAACAAGGTATAAGTAAAACATAGGGGTAGGCATTGGTGAAAGGACAAGCAGACGTCAAGCCATTCAATGTATGTTCTCTGTCCTGTGTGCAATTTCTGTTGTTCATGGAACCAAGGATTTATTTATAGATCTAAATTGTTTGAGCAATGTTTCAGGACATCTGAATTTAAAGGTTTTGGAATGTTGCAACATCACGGGTATATTTATAACCTCAATATAAAACATCAAACTTAATTTCATGCACTGGTTTGAAGTTAGATTTAAAGATTTTAAATGTTACTTCCGACAGTATAAGAACCCCTCATTAGAAGAGGTGATGTAATAGATTTTTTCTTAGACATGTCTCTCCTCTTTTTTAAAGCTTAGATAGGAGCAGTTTACCTATTTTCACATAATGTACTTTTTCCAGCTTTTATGAGACGCTTCATTTATAACAAAAACTCTTTCACAAAAACTACTGGTCTATGAATAAGCATAGAGAGAGGCAACTTTCTCCACATTGTTCCTCAGTTAAATTTGTACAAAGTAACACCCACACAGATGATTTTTGCTCAGCTTTGCATATCAAGTTGCATATGACTCTCCTTAATAGCTTTGTTATTTATGCTGATGCAAAATCTCTTCTTTTGTCTTGTTTCCGCCATTCCCTCGCAGTTGATCTAGTTTATTATTTATTAAGCATACAATATGCAGTACATTCCCTCCCCCACATAAGAGGCTTTGGCTTTTGAATATCCTTTACTAGGTCTGGGATTTAGTTTGTGTTTTGTGGCTCCCTCTGATAGGTAAAGGTTTTGCTCTAAGTGTTCACCACTGTGTCTGGTTCGCTCAGCTTCTGAGCAGGTTTAAAAAGACTTTGCAGCCAGTTAGTCTCATCTCAACCTACACATTCGAGGCTTCTTTATTCTTTTGAATTGGTCCTCACTGCTACTACGACTTGCAACTGCGATACATAGTGAATTGTACTATCAGAAAAAAGTATTTAAACTGCAACAAACATGATCTTAGCTGCCCTTAAGGTGTACTTTAGAAAGCTACTGATGCTGCTGCCTCGAGGAAAAATAAAAATGATGCAGCATCTCAGAGTTCACATGGACTTTTCTGTTTTCATGTCAGCTGACATCCTTTTCACATTTTCCTCCTAGAAATAAAAAACACCAGAGACTGACTCAGCCCTTGTGTTTGAGGATAGTGAGGATGTAGACCTCCTTAATGACCTGTCTGTCTGAGAGCTAAGAATGTGCTCGGTTAAAGGAGCAGATGTGTTAAAGGAGAAACAAGAAAAGAAACAAAGGCAGGAGGGTTGGGAACTCCCTATGCTCTCTCTGGCAATTTAGGTGGAGGGGTTCAGCTGCCTGGTTGGAGTGATGAGTCCCTGTGGTCCAACTTAAAGTCTGTTCACCATTGGGCTGCCGGTCTGAAGCTTATTCGTGTTTTATTATTACATTACATGCATCCTTTGTCACAACCTCACACTCTCATGCACACTCAATATCCTATTAGGAGGACGCTGCTCTTATCTCCTGAGAGACTTCAGCTAAATCCATTACTTCCCTCCTCCTAAATCATCTTTTCTTCTCTCCCCTTCATTTTTCCTTCTATCTTCTCTTTCTTTTCAAGCACATTAGGTGTTAAAATACTTTTTCATCAAACCCACATTAACCTGTGGAGAAAGACAAACATAAAGATTCATGGGGCATGTCTGTGTGCTGACAGTGATTTGGGGAGGTCGTCCATTTCCGGGACTTTCTCACTGTTTCTCGGTTTCCCCTCCCCCCAACCGATCAGCTAATCCAATATGTTTGAGTAAAGCACAGCTCCTTTGTCAACAAATTTCATTAAGCAACATTAGCGGGGATATCAAAGAGGTGGCAGGGAGGAAATGATGGATTTAAAAATGAGACCGTTAGAAATGAGAGCCCTTGCTGGATAACGCTCATACATGAGCCTCATGCACAGTCATGGTTTCACACTTACAAATCTCCTCGTCATCATCATGCAAACAGAATTTACATAACTCATTTCATTTTTCATTATTCCTTTCGGAAGGTTCTTGTAATTGGATTTTTTTCCTCCAACAAGTCCAAACAATTGCTATCCCTTCACTTACCTGAAATAAGATTTGTACTGCTAAATTACATTCAGAAGTGCTCAATCTTTTCCCTTCTTTCTTTGCATTTGGTTTGTACTGCAATAAATTATAAAATGTCACTTGGCATCTCTGCGTCTGCTTCTACATGGCTGACAAATGGACACATCTGTTCGTCCAAGATAAATTGCTTTTCCTGATTTAGCAAATATTCTTGTTAATCGGTGCAAATCAAAAACTTCAATATTTAAGTTTTCCCTGTCTTGTTGTCAAATATATTGAGAAGCTATGAACATTTCTGCCCTGCAAATGAGCTCTCTAGAATTCATTGGATTCTATTTGGAATATTTTAAAGATTTTTTTCTTTCCACAATTTTCTTAAAATTTAAATGTTCTCTACACAGAATGATGGGGAGGAACACTAGTGGATGATTAAATCTATGTTCTAGAATACTAAAATTTCTTTCAAATTGTTTATTTAATTTCACTGGCTAGCTGTATATAGAGATTTTTTTTTTCAATTTATTGAGAGATTAATATAAGCAAATAAAACTAGGAGAATTTCAACCAGGTTTTCATTTGCGTTGCAGAAGACGTTTACAATTGTGTCATGAGTACAAATAGCATATTCATCTTCTGTGAATGATTCTTCTTACTGGTTCTTGGATTTTCTTTTCCATGATAGAATGGTTAAAGAAAATTACAACACACAGGGCCTGATCTTTAATTGGTTTGCGTTTATTACAACCAAAGCTGTTCTTTATACAAAGTGCAAAGCGATTTGCTTGTGTATCTTCATTGATATGCAGAATATATTCTAACGACCCATTGACATACTGGCCACCTGTCCAATGTGCACTCCAACTTTCCCCTATAGACTGCTGGAGATAGGCACGGCAATCTGTGACTCTGGTGAACAAGCAAAAGAAGAAAGATCAATATTTAACTAGTTCAATATTACAATTTGGGGGGGTTTTGAAAATAAAAAAAACAACAAAAAAACACTTCTTTTCCTTTTAAACAAACAATACACACACTAATAGCCCTTAGGTATTATCTCAATTAATTATATCTTTGTTTAACTTGGGTTTATGGTGAGGAAAATTATTTCCTGGTATTCAGGCTTTTTCTCTGCATATAAAAAGCCTAGACCATCTGGTTAGCTGACATCTGGTGAGGCCTGCTGACTGTAAGTGCAGCAGGGAGTAAGGGTGAGTCTTCTCTCATGTGAAAACAACACAGGGTAAACTGAAAGTCCTGCCCATAGACCGGGACCTTTTCATTGAGGACCTGTGAAGGTGAAAAATGTAAATTCATGTGATTAAAATGTTTCTTAATCTGTGTAGAGTTTTTAAAATCTGCGATAATCACTGAAAGTCCCCGGCAAGTAAAAACAGGTATGATATTAAGCCTTCTGCACTTACATTGTCTCACTATTTTGATTATTTTTAATTTACTTCCCCAGATGAGGTCAGATGTTTATAACAGCTGATGATTAACTGATGCCTTGACATCAACATTTACTTTAACATGTATTTTGTTGTGTTGTCGTTCCAGTGTAAGTTGGAATTTCAGAGCTGCATGTCTGGGAAGACAATCTCCGTTAGATGTGATGGACAGTGTCCCTGCATGCCTGGCCAGGAGTTCAGCAAAGCACCACATCATTCAGAGAAGGCTGGTAAGTCCACAGCATCAGCATCATACTTTCTTCTAGCTAGAGACATAAGTAGGTCAATTAAGCTGTTTCATATCTGTCTTCCTTTGTGGCTGCATGTGATTTAATGGGTGCTTTGAACATGTAGAGGATTCAGGATGTTGTGGTAAATTGGGGTAAAAAAACAAAAGGATGACTGAAGAAGATGTATATATTTTTTTTAAGTCACTTTAAAGACCCAGAACCCTCCACAGTGACTCTCTCCACACCCTGAAGTCCTTTTACTGGTTCCTTTTCAGACTCATTGGTAATTCTCTGTGTTTTCATTTTTTCCTCCTCCGTCATCTTTCCCCCCTACTTGTGTTATTTTCCTCCACTCCCATCTCCTCCACGACCCCCACCCCCATTATATGACAGCTGCAGGAATTGGTGATGGAGTGAGTGTGTGTGTCTTATTGTTTGTCATGAAAATGGGATTTCGGCAGATGGATGGAGGGATTGTGGTGGAGAAATACAATCTAAAAGAAAGTAGCACGGAAAAGGATGGATTGTTATTTTTACAGGCTTCCTTTATCTCAAGCAGAGGTGGGGAGGTGGTGTTAGTGAATTTGTTGTGAACATCCGTTTGTCCCTTTATCTGTCAGTCTTTCCTAGTCTTCCCTCACAGATCTATTCCAATCAGCCCCAGATTATGGGGTATTTATAAGGGTGCCAAGGTTCATTAGGCACATTTTAATGCAAACTAAAACTGCCCTGCAATTAATGGCAGTGTTGATTTTGTCTCTCTTGCTCACATAACAGTTTAAGCCTAAATGATGGAGAACTGAGATTGATGCAGTTACAGAAAAGCGTTTTCCCTACTTGACTTCTGTCACATTAATACATTCCTGTCTTTGCTCAGATTAAACTATAATTAACTCTTTAGTTTGCTGAGCGCATGGCTCTGGGAATAAACAGTGTTCTAAGGCTTTTATCAGGAGTCAGAAAGTCTATAAATCTTAACCAGTGATTAGACCTCTTTCGTATTGCTGTAGTCTTTTATTATTCCCGATTTTTTCCATCATTTTTCCATTTTTTACTAGCTCTTTCTGCACTTCTCAGAACAACTTGTCCTTAAAGTGTCCAACAGTCAGCAGGTTAGAAGGTTTCTACATTTGGGGGTGGCAGAGATTTTTCAGTTTCACTTTAGATCAACAAGGCAAGATGGTAAACAGATGGGAATAGCAGTGAGTGAAGAAAAAAAATGCCTGTGATATTACATTCCCATGGAAACAGTTAAACGATTGTTGCAGTGTGATATGCGAAATCAACCCTCTGGGCTTACTGATAGTCACAGGTTCAAGCTGGATTTGAACATTTACAGCAAAGCTGCAAATAACCTACCTGCACTTTTAGGTTCATAAACCATGCTCTAAAAACCAAATATCTTTCAGCTTTCAGTTCAGCGTTGTTTTACCTCCAAATATTAACGCCCTACAGAAATAACAGCATGATACAGGAATATATTAAAGTTAAGCTCCTAAAGTTAAGTGTTTTAGAACAACTGAAAGGTCACAGTAGGGTGTACACAGTGATCAGCTGAATTACTTTAAATAATAGCTCTGAAAACTGCTGCAAATTTAAAGTGGCTGCTGGAAAAATGTGTTAAGATGTGTTTGTTTCCTTTGTGAAGAGGGTGCTTCTTTCCTAATCTGTTTTCTACAACGGTTGCTGTGATATAAAGCAACCTCATTTTCACATCAATGCAAGTTACTTCAGTATAAACATAGAGGTCTTCCATGATTACAGTATCCCTTATTTGCTATATTTGCCTATATATGCAGCAAACTTCAGTATTAAGTTATTTTATTTTTGATTAGTCAACACTTTTAAGTGTCCCTGTTGAAATAAGATGTGCTAATTACATATGCCTATAGTCTATAATAAATAGGGTTTTTTTGAGCTTTTACCCCAAAATGATAAATAAATGTTAAAAAATAAGGAAAAAACTTCAAAATAAAAGGGAGGAAAAGATATCGAAGGGAACCTACATTGAATTAAATACATAAAAAAATACAAAGAATAATGCATTATCTTAAACAAGGCAGAAAAAAAGCTAAAGCAAAGCAGAAAATCATAAAAACAAACCTGATACTATTGAGATTATTTGAATCAGCCCTTTTTAAATAATATGGCAGTAAATTTCCTATTTTTCCGCAGCATATTTGTGAAGTATCTTTGCTCAGAAAGTTTCAAACTTGCTCTGACCCCTCCTCAGACCTGCCCAAAGCACTTTAAGAGTTATTATGCTTCTAAATCTTACTTCAATGTTTACATCAAGATTTCTCATTCCTTTTTTTATTTGCTAAGGTCACTTTGCTCTTGAATTGTGTTTGATAGACGTGACAACATTTTAAGAAAACTTGAAATGCCGTAAATTGCACTCAGCTCCAAAAGTGGAATGTGCAGTAACTAATTATAAAATTAGCATTTAATTCTTATGCATTTTGTTCTTTCCATCTCAAATAAAAAAATAAATAAACATGTTTCCCGAAAGCTAGTAAGGAATTAAAATAAATACAAATTATACTCTAAATATTCCTTTATGTAACTGGTGTTTCTCTGAGTATCTCCCATATAATCACATAAAAACTTGATGAATTTGGAACAAGATGCAGAACAAAACTTATAGTCAGACTGACTCCATTTATTTTACTTTCAACATTCATGACACCTGATCTTGCTTTGATGAGCTCAGTGTGAGAAAAAGCTGATAACAGGACGTGTGTCAAAGCTGAAAGTG